TCCCACTATTAAATACTTGGCAGAAAGCCAGTGAAGTGAAATTCAGAAGAAATGAATAGGTATTCTTACATCTAAGGATTTCCAAAGGCTTTCAAAGATTCAACAAACTATCTCACTACAGCAAAAGATGCAATGCACTTGCCCATTAACTACCACCTACCTTTTCTATTTCTGTGTGCAATCATTGTATTTTTAACTCAGTCCCTAAGATACTTGTCTGATGACCCTACAGCACTGAGTATCTGTGGTGGGCATTAAGGGGAACCAAATCTAATGCACTTCAGTGCTGAATGCATTTCCCAGATACAAATGTGTGTAAGCTTATGAAACGTGTTCTTTTGATTCCATTTCTTTTTTTTTTTTTTTTTCTTTAATTGTTGCCAGGATCTCTGTCCTTTCTCTCAGAACTATGCCTTCTTTCCTTCAAGATTTTCTTAGAAGAGAGGTACTCCTTTAACAGAGGGGCTCTATGGCTATCACCTTTACCAGGTTCCTTCCAAAACACCTGAACACCCAGCCTGTCAGCTGAGTAAACAGCCATCAGCACAGGCTTTCCTGAAGGGCGGAGCATGATCTCAAAGTGTCAGCCCAGGGAAAACTAACCCAAAAATCAGGCAAAGAACCCGAATAATATAACAGCTTGGAGTTACTGCTGGGCATCTCACACAGCTCCCCCCTTCCCTTTTGCTGCATTATACCCTGTTTTGGGGTCAGACAACAGCCTTGCTGTAGCTGTCCTTGTGCACTGCTCCGATCCTTTCAGTGTACAAGTGCCTCCCAGCAATTCTTGCCATCAATAGTAATCTACAGCAGGCTTAAAAACAATTATTTTATTATTTGACACAACAATCACTCATTGGCCTCATTTCTCCTCTGAGAAATGCATCTGAATGCACGCCGCATCTGAAACTGTAGCACCGATGCACAGGGAAGAATTAACACTGGTGTTACCCACCACCAGTAGTGTTAATTTAACTTGTGGAGTCCTTTTCAGACTCCATTTCCAGCTATCTGCTCATCAGTCCATTTTTCAAAGGTAGAACAGAACCAGTGCAAAGGGATTAGGGAAGAAAGTCATGATGAATGTGAGGTCGCGAGCAATCGGTGTGTCCTGCTGCTGACCTTTCTGATAATGTGCCACTTGAGAACGCAGAAATATTTTATGACATCCCCTTTACCTAAGCCCATGTTTCCACTTGTGATTTGCATAAAACAGATTGACGGTTACACATCTGACCTCTCTGCAGACATTACAACAGTACACCTGAAAATGTTAAATAAGGTAACCAACAAATAGCAAGCTCCAGTTCAGCTGCAAATCACCACCTTATACTCCATGCTTCAGAAAAGAGTTTATCTTGCCACAATCAAGCCAGGGCAGCTAGTCTTCTTGAAAAATTTTGGTTTTCTATGTAGATTAAAAACACAGATACTTTTTACATTTGAAAAGAACACACAACAAAATACTAGTCTGGAAACTATTGACTGTCTTTAGTTGAACTGGGTATTAATAATAATGTGAGCATCATTTAAAAAAAAATAAAGAAAAATAAAGAAAATAAAGAACATGTGAACTCAACAATTCAGGCAATAAGCAGAAGTTTTAGGAGAGATATTTTGTCTATCCCTACAATTCACCCAACCTCCTTTTCAGCTGTGAAATGGGCATTCATCTGCAAATAGGTGCAGATGGGAGTGATGGGTTGTACTACTAACAGGAACCACTGGAGGACTTCGGGCTGGTAACTTGGAGGGACTTTGAGAAGGTGAACTGGCATGACTTGGGCTTACTTTTCACCACAGTTATTCATTTAGGAATGCACGCAACAGCAGTAGCACTGCTTTTCTGTTAGTGGTTGTCTTCTGTGAATGTCTTTTCATAAAAATACTTTATGGCTCTACCATTCAACGTCACTTACACTTCTCTGGTTGCTACCCGAACCTTAACAGGTGCAGAGCCTTAAGGACATTATGGCTCACCTAAGATAGCATCTTTCCTATGGAGGACCATTAGAAAGCTCATGAATTATGCTGGGTGCTTCTCATGTCCTTGTGATACATTCCTCATTATTGCAATCTGAAATGTCATTTCCATGCCAATGACTCTCAGATCTGTCTCAGTGATGGAAAGCCCATAAGCTCCTCTAAGTTTCACAGTTGCCTGTAGAACAAATAAATCCTGAAACAGCCCAGGCTTTTGTTACCATATGTGTCTGGAAAGGCTTAAATTGGGTGTCGTCTACTCTCAGCCTCAGTCCATGACCACACTGTCTACATATTTTGATACTTCAAAAGAGCTACTTGAAGCTTGGGCAAAGATCATGTCTTCAAGGAAAATGCTCATTCTGAACTGATTTTCAATTAGCTTTTTAATTAGGTAGACCATGGTAAAGATGAAGCCATCCTTAGGATACTGTATTATTTATTCATTTATTTATTTATTTATTTATTTCTACTGGGTTGGTTAGCAGCTTCCATAAAATCAAGTCACACCCTCTTCCTTTGGACATCATCAAAGCAACACTCATTGTATAAAACAGCTCCATATAAAATTATCCCTCTTCTTTCACCAGCCTCTTCACAGTATGGCTGCCAAAGAGCATTAGCATGAAAGATAGTTCAACTGGTATCATAGAAACATTACATGCTATAGATATGAGACTGCTAAAGGAAAAAAGATTAATTTCAAGGTTATGTTGCTGATGTGCAAAAACTTTTTAAGGACAGAGCTCTGCTTTATGTAACAGAAAGGACAGGATAAGTACAGGCTTCTCTACAGGACTGAAGGCACATGCTGAACTTCAAGGAAGTACCACTCTCTACTAGGAAATTTATGTCTAGCAAGGATGTGCCTGCATACGGTGCAATGACTGCTGGAAAAGTATATTTAGTCTTATAAAACAAACAAACAAACAAAAAACCACAACAACAAAAAAACAAGGAATTAGATTAAATGTTGTGGTCAGATTTCTACTGATTTCTCAGGCCAGAACTCTAGTGTTGTGAAATGGGATTTACATTACAGAGAAATAAACTATTACAAGTCCTGGCCAACAAGACCAAAAAAGCTTGGAACCATACAATAAATAAATAAAATAAAGACATTTATTTAGCATAACTCATTATTAAGTATTATAATGGAGAGGCTTGCCTTTTTCATCTAAGACACTAAGTGAGAATAGGAGAATCCTTCCTATTGTGTTTGCTTTGAATTACACATCCATTTTGAGTCATAGGTCAGGAATGTAAAGAGCTCAGATTGCTTCTAATGATGCCACAAGCATTTTACAATGAGGCAGCAAAAATCTTGTTTATTAGCAATTGTGGCTTTAATCTACGGAAAACATAATGGAATAACATGTTTTACAAAGATGAGGATAATTACGGCAGAAAAATAAGCAAGCAGATCAGCAGCTTCTCAGCTGTACCTGTGGAAGGTACTGACTGTATCAGGCCTACAGAAGTTAGGTTTTAGAGCCTATTTCATTTTAATATTGTTTTCCAACACCATTACTTTTTAACAAATTGCCATGCTTAAGCAAGTTGTTTTGACATGCTTTTAGGAGGTTTTGCATCAGCTGCAAGGACAGCTTTATAAGAAGTGTGATATTAATTTTCCTCAGTCTCAGCATACTTGAAGAACCAAAAAAAGGAAAAGGAGTGAGTTATTAGCATCACTACTCTTCCTATAACTTCCTGTAAGGTGAAACCCTTTTAGGGTCACGGTGCCCATACAATGCATCTTAACATCAGGGTTGAGAGCAACATGACCCAAAGAAACAGACAGAGATAGTCAGACATTCCAAAAATTAGAATGCAAGTTTCAGCTTTCAGACAAAACAAAACAAAACAAGTGCATTCAGGACGAGTTACTATGAAAGCTTAGACCTTCTTTGACGGTTCAGGGACCTATGACAACCTCAGCGAAAGTACTGAGCAGAGGCGTCCACTGACCAGAAAACAAACTTGCTCTGTTAGTAGAGACTTTGTGCCCTGTATCCTGCAGAGAAACAATAAAAAGCAGTTTTTACCTGTAATAAGCCTCTTTCAGGAGTAGGCAAAATCATCAGGCCCTGGATATACTTCAAGAGACCAGCTCATAAGTAAATGTTTGTCTTCTACTCAGCACAGAAACCGAAGGAAACATCACAAAAGACAGAGGGGGAAAAAAAAAGAGGGAAGAGAGGGAGAGAAAAAAAACTTAAAACATTCTCAAAAACTTGAGCCAGGTTCATTGAGTCAGGCCAGAATTTGCAACTCATGTGTAGATTCCCTACATACGTAACAATGTTGTGAACCTACTAGTGTAACCTTGCACCCTGATTTTCTGGCTAAGATTGATCTCCTCCATCACCTACTACTGTCCATAACTGTGATAGAACAGTGCTCTGGGTCCAGCTGGGGCACTGTGCCTGTGCACTTCCATGACCTCACTTGTAAAAAAAAAAAAAAATACACTTCAAAGGAAAGACAGTGTTTTCCTCTTTAGCATGTACTGCTATTTATGCCTCTAAGCAGCAGCTGCTGCAGGCAGGTAAAAAGTAGTTTTTAGCCTCACAATGTCACATATCTGAATTAAATTATTTCATTGCTATGATCTTCAGAGAGCAAAGAGCATTCTATAGCAGAAGGATGTAGTTGTTTGTGTGACTCTAATAGTGATTAGTTCAGGCTAAGCCAAAAGCCAGAGAGCATTCTTTATTACCATTTTTTGACACCATCTCCAAAGATGTTTGCTATCTTTAAAAATACACATAATCTGTGAATACATTTTGGTTGACAAAAGGAAAAGTAAAAGCCCTGCATCTTTCTGTGCTAGGGTTAAGCAATACTACATTCAAGGGTTTTGTTTATTTTCTAAAATGTTATTATATCTCTTCTTCAATTCAGCTCTCCCTGTGGAACCTACAGCACGAACAGACCTTTACAACTTAACTCTAGTCCCAGCAGTTTAAACAGATTTTTAAAAGAGAGAACACCATCTGATATGTTTAGAAGCCTTTTTTTTTTTTTTTTTTCAGCCTCTGTTACAACTTGAGGTCAGTTTGAGGATGGCCAGAAAAAGCCAGAAAGGCAGTGCATCCCAAAGGGAATGAATTCAAGCAGCACACACTAATCCTCCACTTCCTTAAAGGGTTCAAATCCACCACCTGGGAGCACCAATTCCAGGCACTGCCAAGCACCCAAGGCTCTGCTGTGACATCGGGGCTTTAATGGTGATTTCTTCTGCTCCCAGGGAGATGGGCATGGAGGTTAACCAGCATCCTCACCATCATCCTTGCACAACAACATGGGATGTGGAGTGCCTGAGGTACTGGGACAGGTGCATCTTTTGTTTCAGAAAGTCTTGTTATATCCACCTGGCCACAATCAAAGCCAAGAAAAGTCTCCTTGCATTTCATGTCATCAGAATGGAGGGTTGGGCGTATATTTTTGGTTGTTGTTGGTTGGTTGTTTTTTCTTGTTTTTGATTTTTGTTGTGTTTTGCTTTAAATCCAGCACATCTTGCATGAAAAAGGTAAAAGATATTATTTGACACTATCCACGGTGTCTAAGGGAGAATGAATTTCATAAAGAGAAAACTGTGGCATTTTAACAAAATCTTGCCAGCAACAGTTGCACAATATGAAATGATGATGATGCTTTAAGCCTCTTAAGGTCTTCATTTTACAATGTATAGCACATCAGAAGTCCACTGTTGGCAGTTAACGAGCGGGGTTGCTTGTGCTGAGGTCCGGTGGAAGAAAACAAAAAACAGTAGCTTTAGAACTGTTACTTTTATCTGGGGAGAAATGTACTGTCAAAGGCTGCTTCTGACAAAAGCTGTTATTTCTGTCAAAGCAGAGACTATATGGTTACATAGGCATTTAGACGAGGATCAGTTTGTTTATTTATTTATTTATTTATTGGAGCTTTGTTCCATGTTCATGTTCTTGGAACTGAAATCTTTCTACTTTTCTCAGAAAAACAAAATTAATTGTACTTAAGCTAATTATAGATTCAAATATGAAAAAGCAAGCTGTAGTACTGGGGAGTCTCCAGTGAGCTCCTTCAGCTCCTGTTTTTCTGAAGCTGGCAGTGCCCCACCAGATATGTGGCATGAATACACAAAGTGTGCCTTATCCACTGCACGAAGTGAATGACACTGTGCACAGTCTGCACAGCATGCTGTGTTGTTCTGTCACTGTATTCATAGCATGAAAAGAGAAAGCAAGACACTGAATAAAGGTATCGGCTGTGCCACTTCCACAGAACAGACCTCCCAGTATGTGTCACCATTTATCTCTAGAACAAAAACAAAATCAGACTACAAGAAGCTCAACCTCATTCATATTCCTGAAGCTTTTGTCAGTTACATGATGAAAGACCCTATATGCAAAAAAATTCTGCTTACTTACATATGCTGCCGGCAGAAGAGAGGTTGTCCTGGGGGCCACTGTCACCATCTTTGGTCCATTCATGAAAAACAAACTTACAACCACCCCTCCCTGGCCTCTGCTGCGGGGGCAAGGCAGGGATCCAAAACCACATCACCAGGTTCTCTCCCTCTCCCCACACACTTGTACCTGCTGTTTGCCACCAGCTTGATCGAGGATAACCAACAGGGCTGCGTCTGTAAAGGATGTGCTGCTGGCAGAGAAAGGAAAGCAGGGAACAGAGTTGCATCTCAAAAGAATTGCCTCAGGAGGGACCAAAAGACTTTACTCCGCAACAAGAAAGAAGCTCACAGGTCAAGAACCAGGATCAATAAAGAAAATCTCTCCCACCTGAATGCTGCCACCTAACCAGTGGCTACCTGTACTACTCACTAGGAAGGGCTGGGAATTCCCCTCACACCAAGACACTTCCATTCACACTAAAGCAACCTGGGCTGCAGGGGCAACAAGAACAGGCAGGACAGGAACAAAGAACAGAACAGCCCTCACACATACAGGTTTTCTTGATTCTCATGCCCATTTAGCTGCTGAATACAGGCTGACAGCTTAGTAAGGCGCAAGAGCTTCACGTGACGCAAACAAGGAGATCACTCTACTTTAAGAATCACCACAGTTGCAGAGAGCGGGCATTTGTGCAAAACATGATGCACAAATTCAATTTATTTCCTAATCAGAATGAGTACTTCCCACCCTTTGTCCCAGTACTGGAGGGGGCCCTCTCTACTGGTAATAGTAGCCTTCATATGCATTGTTCTGCATACAGTTCCTCCATTTCATTACATGAAAGCAAACCTGTCTTTTCAGTCCTAGTGCCCTGACCCCCTTCCAAACTCCAAGAACTTCCCTGGTTACGCTGTCTGTCATTCAGAGTTTCTACACTGCTTTGTGCCACAGCTGATATTTAGAAAAGAAAGCCATCCTCTTCTTTTGTCAGCTTACGGTGTATTTCATCTCCCACTATCTCATGAAGTGACAGTTTGATTATAATGTAATTACCTTTTTTTAGTGAACCTAGTGAATAATTTTATTTCCAGATGGGTTTATGCTCCTTATATTTAAGCTCATTATGAACAAGAAAGCTGCACTGGGAAAATACAAAGCAAGGTTGTCTTTTTTCTCCCCCCCCCCCCCCTCCTCTCCCCTTTTTAAGGTGAACATTATGTAGGGTTTATAAAGTGAGGGAAAAGATGCCAACACCACACAGTAGAAAAGGTGACTCAAACACGAGAGCACAAAAGAGCTTGAGAGCCCTTTAAGACATTTATATGGAAATTGAGAAAATAAATGTTTAATTTTCATTGCGTGGAATTTGGTAAAAGCTAACAGGCTGAATAGCTTCAATACCCCAGAATCAAGAGCCTGAGAAGCAAGGATGAGAGTGGCTGCAGACGACTACAGCAGGGACAGTGCCAGCTCACAAATTGATGAAATGAAAGTCTTTTTTATTCAGTAAAATCTCCAAGCCTCCTGTGGCTGGGTACTCGCCAAGGAGCTCGTTTGCAAGTCAAGTATTATTTGTTGATGCTAAGAAGCACAAGCTGATACATTTTGCCAAAACATGTGTCAAGAAAATCCATGTAAATCAACAGTGCTTTGCAGCAGAAACAGTGGTTCCTCTCTGAAAACTGTCTTAGTAAAATGGCACCCTGGGGTTTCCTGTTTATTGCATCCCAGTGACTTCCAAATCAAACACGATCAGCTCAGACGCAAGTGATAATGATTTTTTTTTTAACTGCTGCTTCTATGAAAATAGAAATAAAATTGCACAGCCAAGATGTTCTTTCTGGCTCACACATCAGCGGTATAGATCCTGCAACTGGTATTTAGTCAATAATCCTATTTATGACTGGAAATCCAGTTTTCTTTCTATCATCCAGTTTGTAGTTGATTGGCTTGAAAGGGAAAAAAGGGAAGAAAGAACATCCTGAAGCAGAAAAAAAAATCCTGAAGCAAACAAATTAACTTACCACAAAAGCGAAAATTGGATCCTCATTGGAGTCCATTTCTTTAGCAATGCTTTTACCTCTGGTTGAGCATGTGCTAACAAAATTCTGCTGTCTAAAGTAGAGGTGCAGGACCATGTACCATATCAACTACATCTGTCTGTGTTTTCTGAAGTGGGAAATTACTTAAATAACCAATTGAAGCAAATATATCCACTTCTCATTGCATTTCACCATTTGTAACCCTACAGACGTGGCTGGATAATGATGACATTTCGAATCTGTGACTCATAAGAGGTACATGTATATGACTTACTGGCACTGCCAGCCAGGCTGTGACCTGGCATCAAGCTTCCTCCTCCCGAAAACTCCCACACACTGCTCCTCGCAACACATCAATTCTCGTCATCTTTGACCAGCGGTTGCTTGAAAATACACATCCTGAAAATAAACAGGACTTTGGTTTATAAATATATGCATATTTTTCTATTTTCAAACAGTTCTGGGCTCATTTTCCCATATTCCCAAGATTTAGGCCACTGATAAGTAACCTAATCTGCTGTAATGAGAATATCGCTCATTTTCTGTGTGCTATCTAGCCAGCAGCTCTCCTGGGACACTTTAAACTAGCATTTAAAATGTTGATATTCCACGCACGTATTCTACCTTATTCTACTGCCTTGCCACAGACCTCAGTACACCAACCTAATTGTTCATTTGTCTGGGCCTGTCAGTTTTTCTATTTCCACACTCCCACCTTGGTACCAGCATTCTGTTAGGTGGTGGGAAAACCCAAAGATTGCCACATACCACAACATCATTTATTTACTCTATCAAACAGGAACTATTGATTGATTGAGCTTGTTCAGTAGCAAACCTGCAACATAATTTTATCAAGAAGTAGCTTAGTTCTACTTAAGAACTGGAACCTGGAAATTCATATAAAAGATGTGAAATATCATTGCTGTTACCTTTTCAAGTGAAAAAAAAAAAAAATCAACATTACAGCAACAAAAACTAGACACCTACAGCAAAGAAAAGGGGAAATCATGTGAGAGAAAACTCAAAGATAAAAGAGCTAATATTAAAGCTTAGCAGTCCCTGGGGGTATTGTGAAGGCTTCTGAATGGATGAAGCATTTCTAGTAATTATGATGAATCGAACAAATACTGTCAACCTCAGGCTCACCGCAAGACTATCTTGAAAAAAGGACAACTAATTATATATATGTATATATAACTGAAACCAAGTTATTGTTTCACTTAAATGACTAGGATCTGCCTACCAGAAAAGCTTTTTTATGAGAATTGCAACCTTTAAAAAAATAATCCCAAGCTGATTTATTTATTTTTTTTAAATACACTCAAACTATTTGCAATGTATTTGAACTTGTCAATCAACTCAGATGAACAGTTTTTGTAAATGTGCTACAGAGCATTCAAAAACCAATATTACTATTGGAACAACCTTCTTTAAAAGACAAGAGTTCAAAGACTCATCATTCTTGGACAGGTTCAAATTTCCCTTTAAGGTCAAGAGCAAGATTTAAAACATTGTCCCTGCAGAGGCCTCCAGACCATCTTTGTTTCTCTTTTTCCATGTGTTTTAGCAGTTAATTGATGAAGCATCAGACTTTTTCCTGATGCTTCCAGTAGAGGTGACTGAAGAGCAAAGGGATGAAAGAGGCTATGTCTGTAGAGGTCCCAAATCCATGAAACAAAGATTTATCAGAGTAAAGCCATAGATGGGACCAGAGAAAGAAATGATAAACTTGGGACCCTCCTCCTTATCCAACACCACAGAGCAGTTCTGGATTTTAACTTGTCCACCTCTCTGCCCACCTTCCAGAAACCATGGGTCATAGCTGAAGGTGTCTTCTTAATGTTCTTATCTACTTTGTTTGGCTTTGTTTCTGTCTGAAAAAAAAAGACCAAATTAAGGATTATAAATTATGACAAAAAAGGAAATTTGAAAGCAACATTTACCAAAAATCCCACTTCAGAAACACAGAGGATACATCTTGAAAGGCCCCAGCTCCAGTCCTTCAGCATATAATTCCAAGTAGTCTTTAACTTCTTCCTGTCAGTGTCATGTATTCAGAAATGGCATAGGAGTGGTTAACTTTGTAGTTGTTTTTCCTTCAATCAAGGAAGTAGCACAGAGGTCAAAGCTTTATATGACTGAGAAGCTATCAAGCTGGTGACAGCATTAAAAAATAAAAGTGTCTGTTAAAAACTGAGTCCATCAAAAGAGAAAAAATCGTGTCAAGAGTCATATTAAATGACTCTATTAAGATGATTTTTTAAATCAATACATGGTATGCAGTCCACGTAATTCAATTTTACAAAAATTTAACTAGATTATATCTTGTCAAGAAGACCTTATGGGTCACTTTAAACTCAATTTTCATCTGTCCAAATAATGAACTCTAGAAGGATAAGAGATTAGCACTTTGGAGTATGTTTTAGTGCAATCGAAGCTTTCTTGAGAGGAGGCTATTGTACTGAAATTGTCAGAATTGTTCCTGGATTATCATGTAGACAAGAAAAAAACCCTAGAATTAGTTTCTGCGAGTTACCTTGGGCAAGATAAAATAAGGCACTGACAAGACACTCGAAGAAACTCAGTCACTCCCAGCAATGTAAAAGCTTACCCCCAAAAGGCTGAAGGAATTCTGAAATAATTGCAAGCACTTCCCCAACACAAAATTATAAAGTAAAGATGATACAAGTCTGTAAGATTTTATTTAAAATTAAGTATATTCTTTTCCACATGTTGTCACTGACTCCTCATTCTTTCCAGTCATAATTCTTTGCTACCCTCATTATGATTTCATTCTTTCTGTGTACCTCAAAACCACAAGCCAACTTTTACTCTGCATTTTTGTTTTCAGCTTCGGGGGAGACCAGTGCGTGCAAATCACAGCATTTCTTCTCTCTGGCTTGCACTTCCCCATACAGAAATCCAGCCAGGAAAGAGAATTAAGAGGCAGCCTGAGCCACTGCCTTGCCAGGAGGGAGGCTCCATTATATCTATGTCATTTCTGACAGACTTGTCTCTCTCGTTCTGCTGTGCCTGCCAGCTGCTGAAATGCCACCAGTTCCCCAGCTGGTCTGTTCCCAGTTTTCCCTGTCTTGTAGCACTGATAAATTTCTTCTTACTTGAAGTCTAGGGAATCCCATTACATTTTGTTTTCTCCCCCAAGGACAGGGAAAATTGATCGCTTGCTCACCACCAAAACTCTTTACCTACTGACCAGCTGCCACGTCCACAGTCTCAGTAATATGTGCTGAACTATAAACCTTGCTAATGCTCTCCAGACTCCAGTCATCCTGAGGACACCAGAAAAGCTAATTTCACCTCTGGGATGTGCAGAAGCCAACCTGCTGGCTCCAGCAGGAACTTTGGGTGATGAGCAGAGCCTTGTCCTGGTTTCAGGACAAGGGCTTCTTGGCTCAGTGCTCCTCTCAGGCTGGGCATTGCTGTAGCTCACAGCTCTGACCCCAGACAAGACTGATGTCCATCAGTGCAGCAAAACATCATCAGACAGCAGTCCTACCTATCTGTGGTGGCCAGAGGCACACATGACACATGAGCTGCTGTGGCATAGCCTCACGACTCCTCAGCAAGTGACAGCTCAAGTCAGCAAGAACTAAGATTCAAAAGCCTTTTACAGAGCTAAAACACCACCTATGGGACGGATGGCTTTATCTGGCATTTGGGAAAGGCAAGCTGCTCTGGAGCTGGCATGCTGCATTGGAAATGGAGAAAGGGAGAAGGATGGTTGTATTTCTGCAGGGACCCTAATGGGTGGTATAATTCCTTAGTGTCATGGAAACCCCTACAGCTTGCATTTACTGTGCATGCTGGGTCAGGCTCTTTTGCTTGTGCCAACTAACGAAGGGTTGCCTGATGTGTCCTTTCTGGCCATCATCCTCATTACTATGTCTGGAGGGTCTAATTTCCTACTGCTTCACATAGTTATGTGTGACCTGTTCGCATTTTCTATATGACGAATGAGTAACTGTGGTTATCTAGAAGAAGGGTAATTAAATATATAATATGGAGCTAACCAGACAGAGATGAATATTAAAGTGAATATTAAAGCACCTGACCTGGCCAGGTGCTCAAAGATATTGCTGAAAATGTCTTCAAGTTTAAAAAAAAAAAATACCACCTTGACAGATTACTAAGTGTTTAAGCCTTTTGGCAACAAGAGCTGCTAATAAAGAAACAGTGTAAACCAGAAGAAAACAGTAGCAACAGTAATTATGCAGCAAAATGATTAAACAGCTCACAGCCTTAATGACTCTAATCTATTTTATGAGAGGAAGTCACATCTTCAACATTCAAAAAAAAAATCAATTAGGGAGCAAGGGAGATGGAAAAAAATCTATTTAAACTGTGTTCCTACAATCAAGTGATAAATCAGTCATGAGTAATTGTAGAAATCAGTGCAGCTCACCATGTTTTGATAACATTGGCTACTCCACCAGGGACTGAAGCCCTGTTCAGTTTCTCAGCATCCAAAGAGACTCCACAGAGTAATCTGAGAAACTGTTGTACCGGACTAATCGTGCTGTCTGGCTGGAAGAATATCCAGCACTACCAAAACTAAGAAGCTTGCTTTGGAGACCTTTTCTTATTTTTATAGCAACAGAGCTAATTTCAGTTCAGTTCAGAGATACTTAACAGTCTCGTTAACTCTTAACCACTTAGATATTTTGTTTCCTCTTCACATTCTTTGTGTTTGTTTTCCCCTCCCAGATAAAAGAATTGCAGATACCAATTTCCCACAGTGACACTAGCCCAGACAAGGTCATTCTTGGAGGCCTGCCGCATTCCCCTTTGCCTGCAGAAGCCAGAAAGCTCAAGGGAAGAACACTAGCATGGTGCATGGGAAAACCTGAGGTGTTTCCCAGACTCTTCCTGCACCGGGTCTTGTTTGTTACAACATAACATTGACCTTCATGGTCACCAGTGCTCTGAAAAATAGGCCTCAAAAAGGAGGTTGTTTTCACTGCACTCTTACCCAATTCTTGACGTACAGACAAGGATTGTTACACCGAATTAGACAGGTTTGTGTAATTCCAAAGGTAATAATAAATTAGTCAGATCCCCTCTTTGTCTTTTCCTAGACCTTTTAGTGAGATTATTTTAGGTATCAGAACCCAAACACATTCTAAGGTTTTAATATTTATTCTTGTATCTCTCTTCTCTACCCTCACATTTGCAAAAAATATTTTGAAACACAGAAAGCTTGATGCTATAAGATATCTACCTTACAAATGTCAGGGAAAAACAAAACAAAACAACAACAACAACAAAAAGCACCACCAGCTCCTACAAATATTGATATATTTATAATGAAAAATGATACAGGCTCTTTTTGTTATGATGGTATTAGAAACTTTGTCTGATGTATTTTGTTTGCTATAACACACTTCAAGATCTGTGTGCCATGATGCAGAGCTTGCCTTTCCACCTCATGCTGAAGGTGCAGAAATGCTTCTGAGGACAAAGGATTGGGCTGGAGAAAGCACTCCAGATGCAAGGACTAGTATGAATGAGGAAGAATTTGGAACTGGTCATGGATAAACCTGTGTGTTGAGACAAAATATAATTTCTTATTTGCCGCTTTTCTATGCGGTTCCACTTTTTATATTTAAAATAAATACTTCAAAATATTTTATATATATGTATATATATCATGATTACCACCCCTTTTCTGTAGACTAAACGTCATAAGCTTAACTATCTCACACACATACACACAAAAGGTTAATTTTCAGAAGATGGTGGGAGATGAAGAAACTGTAATAAGGATCTACCTGTGCCAAGGCTGTTGTGCTTCTCAACATTTCCCTGAAAAAAAAATAATAAATTACCACCATAACATCCATCCCCATTTGCTCAGTTTTCAAATTTCAGAGCGAGATGCGATTAATTAACAAGGGTTTATATTTGTTATGGTTTTAGACCTAGAAGTTATTGACAGCCACTTGACATTAATTATTTGTAGTATTGACATCTTTGCACCATGGAAAGCTCTCTGGAGAAGAGCTTGGGAATATGCCAAAGGTGGAGAGGAACAGTTGCTGAAGGCAGGTAGGGAGATATTGATGTTACACGTGTGCAGATGGGGAAAGCAGGGGGATTTAGTTGTTGTTATTAGTTTCATTGGTAGGTCTCAAAACCGGGAAAAAGAGAGCCTTCGTTGTTTCGAATCCTTGCTTCCAAAGAGTTAGGCACAGTGTGACCCTACCCAACTTTTGGATGCAACTAAGGCACATGAGATAGTCATGGAGAGAATGTCCCCACCTTGTATACACATGTCAAAAAGCCATTTAGCCCACCCCCAACAGGGGCTCATGGGCAGGTGAACTGAGAGTTAAGCAAGTTCCTGGGGTTTCCAATGGAAACCCCATTCATGCAAGGGTAGAAAATAGAGGAGTCAAGTGATAAGCAGAACATTACATTTCAGATGGCATCAAAGAGATGTAGGTCAAGTTGTAGCTGTACTGAATGACAACCCAGAAGTCCAAGAAATCAGCGCACCATGGCTGCAGGCAGCAGCCCAAGTAACATGGCCTTGATGGCAAAAGCTGGGGCAGACACTGAGTGCAGGGGTGGGGGATCCACACAGGCCCCCAGTGATGCTGCCTGGTAAACAGCAGCTGGGAAGAGGGTGGGATCAGGGGAAGACCTGCAGCTCTTCAAGAGGACATCTGCCCAAAAACAACAGCTCTGGGAGGAAGTTACCAATGATGAACCTTCCTTAAGTTGACCATCAGCTGGATTACACGGGGAGCAAGAGACTACCAAGAGAAATTTGAGAGTAGAAGTCAGTTGGAAAAAAATAATAAGGTGTAAAATTTATGACTGTGGAGGGAGATTTTGAGGGGGCGAAGTGGTA